GATCTTTAAGTCTAGGGATAAAGGAATATGAGAAATACCTAATTATCCCACACTCCCCCTGGCGGCTAGCACTCTTCTCCTCTCTTTGATGCTCTGGGCAAAATGCATAAGGCCAGCATGTATTTTGTCCTCCGGACGGAGCACCAAAAAGGCAAGACATGTGATCATGTGTCATGCGTCATCACATGTTCTGCCCGAGGAAGGGGATCCTGCGAGACCCCGAAACGTTGCACTGAGTGTGATTGTGCTGCATTTTCATCAATAAACAGATGCATCTGTATTGCAACTGGAGTGCAGGTGTCCATACTTCTCTTTGTGTGTGACAATGGCTGCCATCCGTTGATCACCGTTGCACCCACCTTAATTAATTTGGAGTAAGCGGTCAGGAGTGCGATGGGTTCACGGATTGTTTCTAAAGAAGAATTCAGGGGATATTTAATGGTCTTGGGACACTAAAATGGATTGTAGATGCATGTGGACCTGCTGGACTAAGGAGATGGATAAGGGGGAGGGCATCACTAACAGGAATTAAATCTGAGAATTCAAGTTGAGATCCTTCCCCATATGCCCAAGAGATATGATCAGTGATTTTATCCTCCAGAAATCTCATTCCTAAACTTTTTTTTCTGTTTGGATGGAGCGGAGAGGGAACCCTTTTTACTTCTATCCAGGGCTCCACCTCCCTTATTTTCCTGGTGTCAACAGTTTTAGCAGACAGTAAGGGAAATTCTCCAATAACGTGACAGAAATATAAATAGCCTTCTACCAGTAGAGTATGGAATGGCTATAACCCCGATCACATTTCCTGCCTGGTAAAACGGAGCCCTGGATAGCAGAAAAAAACCCCCAAAAAACATGACATGGGTTCTAATCCATTCCCGCTATAAAAAAATCATTTGTGTTGGACATGCACTTTAAGTAGAATGGATCCTTCATTCTCTATTATAACGGCTGCAGACGCCACGCAGCCCCGCCTTGCTGGTCATACCTGGAGGTGCAGTCGCTCTTCCAAAGAGCCGTTCGGTACGAAGAGATATATAAGGCAGTACTCCTCTCCCTGTACGCAGTAGCCGGCCAGGTCAATAATGTTTGGGTGGCGAAGACTGGAGGGAAGCCACAGAAAATCAGTGTAAGTTGATGAATGCACCATCACATGTCCACATAGCCACAATTGCAAAATACAGTGACATGAAAACTGCATACATCACGACAACAACCGATGCAATAAAGCCGCCGACGTGTTTTCCTGGAAGCTGCCAACATGTACAGCTGTATCCAAAAATGTAACCTCAAAGGGGAACTACACCCACACAGACTCTTCATGCTGCACATGTCTCTGTGAATTACTGTTCTGAGTCACTCGCACAAAAGTTTACATGACGTATTTCTGGACAATCACTCCTAAATTCATCTCCCTAGGCTAGGCTTGGGGGGGGGGGGGAGGGG